GCTGGCTCTGGCCCCACTGTCTCCCAGGTAACAGGCTCTGCACTGGGTGCATCTGGGCAGGGGAGCCATGGGCTCATCTCATGTCCCTCTGCTCTCCCCAGAGCCCCATCTGAAGACGTCTTTGCCTTCGACCTGACCTCAAACCCAAGTCCTGGACCCAGCCCTCCCTCGACAGGCAGTTTCAAAGCCCCACCAGGTGGTAGGTGCCCCGGGCAAGGCATGTGGGGTGCCTGGCTCTGACCCCTGTACTCTGACCCCCCATCCCACCACTGGGTCTGGGGCTGGGCTCATGGACCCTCCTCTCTCTCCTCTCTCCCTAACAGACTCTTCCTCCCTTGACCCTGAGCCCCTGCCCATCCCCCCTACACCCCCAGTCACACTCCCAGCAGGGGTCACAGAGACTCGGGAGCCCCCAGAAGACCCTGACAAGGTAAGCTCAGGGGCTCAGCAAGGAGGGGTGTGTGGCTCTGGACCCAGACCTTCTCTAACCCCTATGGTCCTTTCAGAGTCCTGTCCCTGGTCGGAAGAAATCAAAAGGTATGAGATGCATCTGACTGATGGGGTCCCCTAATATGAGGAGCTCTTTATAGTGCTGGGCAAGGACCCCCCCCCCCAACTCCCACTTCATACACAGCCTCTCCTGGAAACGGCTCTGTTTCTGGGGTAAGACAGATCTGTGCTCCCAGCCTGGGCCTCTCACCAGCTCTGTGACTTTGGGCAAACGGCTCATCCTCTGATCTTCTGTGTCCTTGTCTCTAAAATGGAAGAGTCTTCCCCACCTCAGAGATGACACTTGTAGCATTCCGAGCACAAAGTATGAGTTCAGAAACACCAGCTTGGGTATGCTCGTGGGGGGCAAGAGAGTGGGTTTGGGGGTCTGGGATGCCTTGCCAGCCCCTCACCAACCGGGCCATGCTGTGCTGCTGCAGGTGTGGCTACGCGGCTGAGCCGCCGGCGGGTGTCATGCCGGGAGCTGGGCCAACCGGACTGCGATGGCTGGCTCCTGCTGCGCAAGGTGGCTGGTGGCTTCATGGGCCCGCGCTGGCGCCGCTGCTGGTTTGTGCTCAAGGGACACACGCTGTACTGGTACCGCCAGCCCCAGGTGAGACCCCCATACGCACACACAGGTAAGCAAGTGAGTGGGAGCCACGGTTATTCTCCCTCTTCCACCATCCACTCCCATCTGTGATCACAGGCAGGCCACAGACCCTCCTGAGCCCCAGTGTTCCCATCTGTAAAATGAGGACACTCTGGAGAGAAATGAGCTAAAATGTGTGTAAAAGCAGTCTGGAAAAGGTATCACAGGCGGTGTAGAGAGAATCACTTTTATTCTGCCCACCTCTCCTTCCTCTTCTGTTATTCTGTCCATCCTAGTGATGGGTTATTTGTTCAATTGTTTATTCATTCAACAAACATTCGGGTGCCTACTGTGTACCCAGCTTTGGGGTGGGCACTGGGGACACTGGGAAGACTTGAACAGTTCCTGCTACTCCAGGCTGGTAGGGGAGAGGATGAATATACACTCCCGGACAGCGTGGGGAACACATGCTATGGCGAAGGAAAAGCCCAAGGGGTGGGTGGGAGCCCAGCAGAGGTGACCAGTCCAGCCTGAGGAGTCGAGAAGCCTTCCGAGAAATCAGTGCCTTGGGGTTAGTCAGGTGGAAAGGGGAAAGAAGACCAGGAAGGGGGAACAGCGTTAGCAAAGCTCAGTGGTGTGAAGCAGCTTCATCTGTGTCTATGGACTGAACAAACACACAAGCAGGCTCCTCTTTTGTGGCTATTTCTCTGGATATCTTTGGCTCCCCTTTCCTGGCTCGAAGGCACTCCTCCGTCACATCCCCTGCCCGCACCCCAGATTCCTGCCTTGAGCTCTGGGCACTGAGAGATTTGTGGTTAGAGAGCCCAGGAGATGCCCTCTTCCCGCCCCTGCCCTCAGGAGCCTGACTGGGCCTCGAGGGTGTCGGGGCCTCATGCTGACCCACACTGTGATTCCCGCAGGATGAGAAGGCTGAGGGCCTCATCAACGTCTCCAACTACAGTCTGGAAAGTGGACAGGATCAGAAGAAGAAATAGTTAAGTCCTGGGGTGTGACAGGCTAGGGGATGGGGAGAGAAAGGGAGAGGTAAGGTGACAGGAGGGGCTAGCTGGGGACAGCAGGTGGCTGAGCGAGGCCCTCTGCTCCCTGGCAGTGTGTTCCAGCTTACCCATGACGTGTACAAACCCTTTGTCTTCGCTGCTGATACCCTGGGTGATCTGAGCATGTGAGTGCCACCCCCTCACCCCCAACTCCCACGTGAGTACTTGGGAGCCTGGTCAGGAGCCTGGATTCAAATCCAAGCTCTCTGATAGTGGTTGGTCAAGACACTCACTTCTCTAAGCCTCAGTTTCATCATCTGTGAAATGAGCTAATAAGAGTTCCTACCTCTATGGGCCGGCCTCATGGCTTAGCGGTTAAGTGCACGCGCTCCGCTGCTGGCGGCCTGGGTTCGGATCCCGGGCGTGCACCGACGCACCGCTTCTCTGGCCACGCTGAGGCCACGTCCCACATACAGCAACTAGAAGGATGTGCAGCTATGACATACAACTATCTACTGGGGCTTTGGGGGAAAAAATAAATAAATAAAAAATTATTAAAAAAAAAAAAAAAAAGAGTTCCTACCTCTCAGAGTTACTCTGAGGATTAAATTAAAAAATGATATAGGTGGAAAGCCCCTCTCATACAGTAGATGGGAACTCCCTGAGACCCATTTGCCCTTCCGCAGGTGGGTGCGCCATCTCATTACCTGCATTTCCAAGTACCAGTCTCCAGGCCGGGCCCCCCTACCCCGAGAGGAAGGTGGGTGTCTCACAGCGGGGGGTCTCGCCTGAGCCTCTGCCTTTCCTGGGTTGGGGTCTGGGAACTCAAATGCCCTAGCCCACTCCTTGGCCTCCCCAAACCCTGTGAAGCTTAGTGGGTTCCCCAACTGCTGCTGTCACCCCAGACTGCTACAGTGAGACAGAAGCAGAAGACCCTGACGACGAGATTGGGTCCCGCTCAGCCTCGGTGAGTAGGGGACGGGCGGGGGTGAGTAGCAGGGCATGGAGCTCAGACTGATACCCTCCTCTCCTTCCGCCCTGCCTGCAGCCCAGCCTGGCCCATGCTTGCAGTTCATTGCATGGAGACACATCACCTGCAGCCACCCCCACGCAGGGCAGCCCCCGGACCTCCTTCGGCTCTCCAATAGGTGCTGTGCTGGGATTGGGCGCCGAGATGGAGGGCTGGGGTGGCACACCCTCATTCTGCTCCCTTCTCCCACAGACAACAGTGAAGGGGCACTGGAAGGAATGGTGCGGGGGCTGAGGCAGGGTGGCTTGTCCCTTCTTGGCCGGCCACAGCCCTTCACTCATGAACAATGGCGGAGCTCTTTCATGCGGCGCAACCGAGACCCCCAGCTCAATGAGCGAGTGCACCGGGTGCGGGCGCTACAGAGCACACTCAAGGTCAGCTGGGGGCTCTGGGCATGGCGAGGGGCTGGGCTCTGGGCTTTTGGCTCTGGTTCCTGGCCCTCAGCTCTGGGGTCACCTGTGGACTGGGCCCAGTTCTAGGTTCCTAGAGCCAGGCTCTGGATCTGAGAATCAGAGCTAGACTGGGCCAGGTGCTGGGTTCTAGGCACTGGACTCCAGAGTTAGCTCTGGGCTCAGGCTCCGCCCCTCCCTGGGTGATCATGACCCCTTAGGCCCTACTCTTACAGGCAAAGCTGCAGGAGCTGCAGGCCCTGGAGGAAGTGCTGGGTGACCCCGAGCTGACTGCGGAGAAGTTCAGACAGTGGAAAGAGCAGAACCAGGAGCTCTACTCAGAAGGCCTGGGGGCCTGGGGAGTGTTGACAGCTGAGGGGAGCTCCCCAGTCCAGACCTCTGACTCCAGAGAACAGTCTTCCCCCACTCTGCCCTCTGACCCTGAGGAGCACTCCCATGTCTGCCCCCTGACTCCAGAGAGCAACCTCCGACCTCCTGACCTCTGACCCTGGCCAGTATCCTGATCTCCAGCCCTGAGGACCACCTCAACCCCCAGCCTCTGACATGTCTAGGACAGAGCATCCCTAGCTTCTGCTCAAGGTTGGAAGTAGTACTGGTCCATGGTCTCACCCCAAACTGACTCCCACTGCCTGAGCTTCCACCATTTCCGCTCCTTTCTCCCCTGGAGGGGGTGAAGTGAAGCGAGCTGTGTGCCATCCTCTCCTCCCTTGCCAACGAAGGAGCAGGAGGCTGGGCTGAAAGAAACTCTCTCCCATCCTCTGACCTTTGGGGGCACAGACCTGCCCCCCTCAGTCCCTGGGCACTTCTGCCTTCACCGAACCAGTCTGTACAGGCCTTCTTCACTTTACACAAGAGACACTTGTCAACCAAATAAAGTCAATTTCTCTAACATGAATCTACGCGTGCCTTTTACTTCCATATTAGAATCAGGAATCTGCTCCCCAGAGGGTACTGACTTCCATATTAGAATCAGGAATCTGCTCCCCAGAGGGGACCGGGATGAAAAGTTGTCAGGGGAGTGAAGGCTCTCAGTAACTAGCCCACTGTGCGGCCCACTGGCCTGGGCTCTGTTCCTGAAGCTCTGTGCCTGCCAGGATGGTGGATGCTGATCCATGGCTAGTGAGGGCTTCTACTCATGCCCATCTCTCCCCAGCCCTTCGGAGACCAGAGGATGCTCTCTTGCCCCATTCCCCAGGGGGACAAAGTAAGAAATAGAGACCAGCCTTTCACTCTGTGGATGGGGAACATACCTTGCATGGAAGGGCAGGGTGGGTGGCCCTGGAGACTGGGGTGGTGGGATGGGGTAGCTGGTAGGGAGGGGTGCAGGTTGTGGTCTGCTAGGAGGAGGGCCTTGGGGTGAAACACTTTTCTCCTCTTCTCAGCCCAGCCTCACCTCTAGCTCGCGGACCCAGAGCAGGGACACGCCCTTGTGTCTCCATCCAGGCTGTACAGAAGACTTGACCTGCTCCCATCAGCCTCTGACCTCTGACCCCAGCCCAGCCTCTTCCTGTCCCTGGCTTCCTCTGCAGCCTACTGAGGGAGGTCAGTGGGAGGAGCTTCTCTCGGATTGGAATTCCTTAGTGGAATGCAGACAGCTTAAGGTCACAGAGGCCTCTATGATATCACCACAAGGAGGAGTAAGACCACTTGGAATGAAGTTTCTTTGAGGAGTGGAAGGAGACTGAGCAACGATGACCGATAATCAAAAGATCTGGTGGCAGCATTGGACCGACACCACCAATATCAAGCCTTTGAACGTCATAGTAGGTGGCCCCTGCCTGGCTTCACTACCCAAGCTGGGCATCCCGGGGTGGGAGGAGGCACAGGAGGACTGTACTGGGTTTGGAGGGGCAGTTGCTGCACTCCTGGACCCTCTCCTCACCCTTGCAGAGGGCCACTCATGAGCCCTACATCCGGCCAGAGGAGCAGGTACTCATCAACCGCCGAGACGTCACTAATAGAAGGGTAAGAAAGAGGTAGGGCTGCGGGGATCCTCACCCGACACTGACCCTTCTGCAACTGTGCCTGTGGGGCAGCAGGCCCTCATAATAACTCTGCCCCTTCTGCCTTCTAAGTGTCCCCCTAGGGGACCCTCCCCTGCAGTGAACCCTGGGGTGATGCCACCGTGATATGTTGATAACTGCCAGACAGTGCCCTCCACAGGAACTCCTATATAATGACACTCACCAGCAGAGGCCCCAAAAGAGTCTCCCTTGCAAGGAGCCCCACAATGATCCCCCAGCAGTGACCTACTTTTAGTGGCCATTTAGGTGGTGACCTCTACACTGATGCCTCCATTCCATGATCCCCTCTCAGGCAACTTCTCCCCCTAGAGTGACCCCCCAGAGACCCCCATTCACTGAGAGCAACCGTCCAGGCAGAGGCTTCGTACAGTGATGCCTGCCTGAAGGAAGGTCCCTGCCCTCTCCCAGGATGCCTGGGACATGCAGGAGTTCATCACGCGCATGTATATCAAGCAGCTGCTCAGACACCCGGCCTTCCAGCTGCTGCTGGCTATGCTGCTGGTGGTCAACGCTATCACCGTCGCACTCCGCACCAACTCCTTCCTTGGCCAGGTGGGACATCAGCCTGACCTCTGCCCCCACTGATCTAACTGGGGGGCCTGGTGCAAGGCACTTCTCTCTCTGGGCCTCAGTCTCCTATCTGTCCATGAGGGTGGATTGGATGCTTTTCAAGGGCGTGACAGCTCTGACTTTCCAGGGGTCTGGAGATCAAGGAAGACTTCGTGGTGGAGGGGACCCATCTTTGAGGAATGCACTGGATTTGTAGCAGAAGGGCAGGAGAAAAATGGTGTAAGCAGAGGCAGGCAAATGGGTGCCTGTGAGGAAGGTATTCCATTTTAGTCAATAGTCACTAAGTGAGAATCATGCTGAGCCAGGTATTGTGCTCAGTGCCAGGGGTCCAGGTATGAACACAAGGAGTTCTGTCCCAGACAGACACAAACATGTCATTACAAACGCCTGAGTGTCACACAGAGTACGCAGGAGCTCAAACGAGGCATCGACCCTAATCTGGGGGGTCAGGGAGGGCTTCCTGGAGAAAGAGATGCAAACTGAGATTAAGAATGAGTAGGAGTTGGCCAGGCACAGAGAGGTGGGGAAGAGCATTTTGAGCAGAAGAAACAGCGTTTGAGTGAGTTCTGTATGTCCAACTTGAAGTCTAGTATGACTTTGGTCTTATCCTTGATATTTTAGTTTCTTACAAGGAGTAAACTACATACATGAACTGTGCTATTTAAAATCAATATTTTAAAAATGTCCAGCATGGTGGCTGATGAGTTCAGAGAGGTGATCAGCAGCCAGATCATGCAGGGTCTTTAAGTTATGTTAAAGAGGATGACCTTTATCCTAAGTCATTGGAAGTCTAGGGAAAGGTTTAAAGCATGGAAGTGACATGACTAGACACGTGTTTTAGAAAACTCACATTGCGTGGGAGAGGCCAAGAGTGGCAGAAGGTGGCCCAGGCAGGGCCGTGTTGCAGATGTTCAGGTGAAAGATGATGGGGCTTGGACCAGGACAATGGCAGTGAGTGAAAAGAGGTCACGTGCATTTGAAGCTCTCTAGAGTCAGATCCGTGGCCTTCCTGATTGATTCTTTTTATAGCAAACACTTATTGTGTGCTCCTTTGTTTAACATATGTCATCACCTCATGCATGTAGAGAAAGGGAGAGCAAGAAGTCATGTTTCTGGCTTGAGCAACTGTGCGAGGATGGTGCTGTTGTTGGGACGTGGGGGTGAAGGAGGAAGAGCAAGTTTGGGGAGGATGATGAGGTCAGTATTTGAAGTGCCCGTGCAGTATTCACAGAGAGATGGCTAGTGAGTAGGTGACAGTCAAATCTGAAACACCACAGAGAGCGCTGAGATGGAGATGGCCACGTGAGAGTCACCAGCATCCAGGTGGTTCGTTGCCAAAGCTAAAGGAATGGATGAGGTTGCCTGGGGAGACAGCGCCGAGTGAGAGGAGAAGGGGGCCAAGACAGAGCTCGGAGGAAAGCCTTCAAGTAAAGGGCAGAAAGTAGAGGAGACGCAAAAGGAGACTGAGGAGATGTGCCAGAGGAGAGAGAGGGAGCCGAGAGGAGTGTCCAACAAGGGAGCAGACACAGGGTCAGATGTAGCCAAGAGATGAGGTGGGATAAGGACTACGAAGCATCCCTTGGATCTAGCTCTTGTGATCTTGACAAGAGCTGCGTCTGACGTGGTGGAAGCAGAAACCCAGTTGCCAAGGTTTGCAGAATGAGTAGGCTGGAGGGCAGATTGCAACCCAACAATGGATCATGAAATCAGTTCAGAGTGCAGATACCAGCACTTTGATATGAAAAAGAGTGAAATAGAAATTGTGTGTGAGTGTGTGTGTGTGTGTGAAAGAGAGAGAGAGAGGAGAGAGAAACAGCATTATCGTATAAAATGTAACATATATTTCTTACTATGGGTCCCAGTCAAAATGCTAAAAGACCTGGTATTGGATATGTGTCCATGAAAGTCAAATCCTAGAGGCCTGTGAATGCCAGACTGGTTTTAAACCTTACCCGGCAGGCCATAGGGAGCCATGGAAGGCTTCTGGGTAGAGAAGGCAACTCTGACTTAGCCATAGATGCCCATGATGTGGAGAAGGCAGGAGACTATTTAGGAAGCTTTTTCAATAAATAGTGAAGAGGGCCTATTGCCTCCAGTGGCCGGCGGGGTGGAGCTGAGGGGACAGATGAGGGGAAAGAAAGCTCTGTCTTGTTGTAGGCAGACATCCCTGGCCCATAACAGCCTTTTAGGAATTTGGAGCAAGCAGGGAGCCCATAAACCTTAACCTCCCATCTGGGTTTAAGAAGCTCTGCCCAGCCTTGTATGGGCTGGTGGATGGGGGTGGTGGCAAGGTGTGGGTGGCAGGAGGCCTCCGTGTGTGGCAGCGAGCCTTGGGGCACTGAGTCTGTTGGCAGTGGAGGTGAAGACAGGGAGGCGTCAAGGTGACTTCGGTAACTGCCAGGGTGGAGTCAGGGGGCTGGAAGCTGTTAAGGGGGTCACAGACTATAGCAGGATCACAGCTTAATGGAAGCTAAGGGAGTAAGATCTAGGTTGGGTGAAAGTGAGTTAGGTTTTGGGCAGAATTCAAAGTCAAGTCATCCATCTATCTATCCATCCACCCAGAGTACCTGTCCTGGACCCATGAGTGGGGAGATACCCAGATGTTTGGTCAGGCCTGACCTGGGGGATTTGGGGACCTGGAGCAGCAGGAGTGGTTGGGATACCCAGAGGAAGAAGGATGGGGCTTGATGTCCTCTATCTCAAGGGCCATGTCTTTTCCTCCCAGTCCTGGAGCCTGTTCCGCCCCTCCCCTACCTCCCTTTTCCAAATATCTCTACTCTTGAGGTTAGGAGCCAGGGTCTGTAGTTAGACAACATTCTTTATCGACTAACTATCTGACCTGGGCACCTCTCTGATTCTTCATCTGTAAAATGGGAATAAAACCTACTTTGTAGGACAATGGTGATGGTAGTGTGAAATGAAGAATGTGTGGTCTTTGCCTGGTGCCTGGCATGTACATGGAAAGTGTGCTTTAAGGGAGCTACAGAGATGCTGAGGATGAAGAACAGCAGGAATATGGGCCTTCCCTCCCTGGGAGACGTCCTCTCTCCCTGGCCTCACCCAGGCCCCGCTCCACTGACCTCTCTGTCCCTCTCTTTTTCTCTGTCTTCCATGTAGAAACACTATGAGTTGTTCTCTACCATAGATGACATTGTGCTGACCATCCTTATCTGTGAGGTTCTCCTTGGCTGGTTAAATGGCTTCTGGATTTTCTGGAAGGTGAGATCTTGGGCCCTCCCCACTGTTGCCCCTACTCCTCCGTAGGGACTGCACCCCACCCTGTCCCTACCCCTGTGCTCCTGGCCCTGCAAACTAAGGGGTTTGTGTTTGTGTGTGTGTGTGTGTGTATGCGTGCACTCAGAGAGAGAGACTGACTACTTCTGAGGTGTCTGTGGTGCAGCAGAAAGTAACTTTTACTAGAAGTATAGCCTCCCTGGGTTCCAGGCCCTACTCCAGCCTTCCCCAGTTCTGTGACCTTGGGAAAGTCTTGAGTTCCTTATCAGAAAAATGGGATAGAGAGTATCTACCTTAATTTATTGGGCTCAAGAGCAGGGGTCAGCAGACTTTCTGTAAAGGGTCGGATAAACATTTTAAGCTTTGTGGGCCCTACAGTCTCTGTTGCAAACACTCACCTCCTCTCTGGGAGCACAAAGGCAGCTGTAGACAGTACACAGATGAATGAACATGGCTGTGTTCCAAATGAACTTTATTCATGGGCACTGAATTTTGAACTTCATATAATTTTCACGTGTCACAAAATATTATTCTTCTTTTGATTTATTCCCCACAACCATTTAAAAATATAAAAACCATTCTTAGCCTGGCGGTCTTGCAAAAAAAAAAGGGCTGCTGGCCAGATCTGGCCCCCTGGGCTGGTGGATGGGGGTGACTCCTAGAGAGTATCAAAGAGTTGTTTGGGCAGGAATGGGTCTTACAGTTACCTTAAATGAGACAAAGACTCAAACTCTTTGTTTGAATAAGACTTCTGGAGTCAAGGAACTTATTTTGTATAAGAAGAGGCTTAAAAAAACAACCTATTGAAAAAAAAAACCCTTTCATAAAAGGAAAGTATCATTTAAATACCATTATCAGGACAACTGATTTTTTTTTTTTTTAAAGATTTTATTTTTATTTATTTTTTCCCCCCAAAGCCCCAGTAGATAGCTGTGTGTCATAGCTGCACATCCTTCTAGTTGCTGTATGTGGGACGCGGCCTCAGCATGGCCGGAGAAGCAGCGCGTCGGTGCGAGCCCGGGATCCGAACCCGGGTCGCCAGCAGTGGAGCGCACTCACTTAACCACCAAGCCACGGGACCGGCCCAGGACAACTGATTAGCGTTCCAAGCTTTCCAGGGGTTAGAGGCTTCACTTCATAGAACACAGAATGTAGAACCTGGAACAAAAATTCTGAGATCTGGATGTCTGAAAGACTGCTTTGTGCAAACAACACTTGCAAGGATGTTTATTAACAGAAATTAGACTGGGATGGTGCATATTTACATGTTTCCACACTTGAGAGGAGAGTAGGTACCATGATTTTTGTGAACCTTTCAATATACCACTTTATCAGAACTAGCTCTAGAATGCAGGCAGACATCTGTTCCATAAGAGGGAGCATTTCCTCCTTCATATCTTCCGGAGATTTCTTTCAGCAGCAGTTAGAAGGCCTGCATTTTCAAGGGACCTACACTTTCAAGGTTAAGCCCCAGAGTTTTGTTAGCATGATAGAACTGAAGCAAGCCTAAGAATCTTGTGTTCTCCAAGCTACTCTGCTTGTCCGCTAAACCACGGCTTCTCAACCTCGGCCCTATTGAGATTTTGTAATTTTATTTATTTATTTATTTTCCCCCCAAAAGCCCCAGTAGATAGTTGTATGTCATAGCTGCACATCCTTCTAGTTGCTGTATGTGGGACGCGGCCTCAGCATGGCCGGAGAAGCGGTGCCACAGTGCGCACCCGGGATCCGAACCCCAGGCCGCCAGCAGCGAAGCGCGCACTTAACCGCTAAGCCACGGGGCCGGCCCCCTATTGACATTTTGGCCTGGATAATCCTTTGTTGTGGGGGACTGTCCTGTGCATTGTAGGATGTTTAGCAGCATTCCTGGCCTCTACCCATTAGATGCCATTAGCACCTTCCTAGTTGTGACAACCAAGAATGTCCCAAGACATTGCCAAATGTCCCCTAGAGGGGACAGCAAAATTACCCCTGGGGCCAGGCTTTCAAGGGCAAAACCCAGGACTTGTTAGAGGCTGCTTCTGCCTCCTCCTTCCCCACCCCCATCCCTTCCCCAGTCCTGGGGCACAAAGCCTGCTCCTTGTTGAATGGGTGTGGGGGAGGGGAGAGGAGGGAAAGGGAAAATGCAGAGAAGGGAGGAAGTCTGTAAATTAATATCTCAAATATTACTCAGCCACATAAAGATCCCCAAAATTTCGTCCCCAGCTCTCCCTTTTCTACTGCCCTCACGTGGCTCCTTCCTCCTCCTCATCTCCACAGCCTGTTTATCACTATTTCACCACCTAAATATTTCTCAAATTTCTTGCCGCCTCTGCATCTCTGCTACCCCTGTTCTAGTTCTTGCCTGTCTTCTCTCACCAGGATCTTTGTCTGGCTTCCTGTGTCCCCCACCTGCCATCAAGGTAATCTTCCCCAGGCACAAGACAAAGCATCCTTAAAATACTCCAGTGGCTCCCTGTTATTTGTAGGATCAGGTCAAAATGCCTTATTGTACTTGATTAAGGCCTTCCATGATGTGGCCCTTGCTTATTTTTGCAGCCTCATCACTCCCGGCCTCACCCTTTGTGTTCCAGCTACACCAAACAGCTTGTAGTTGCATTTACACATGCACACACACACACACGCATGCATGCACATGCACACATGCACTGCTGTTCTCACCTCTATGCCCTTGTCCATGCTGACCCCTAGTCTATACAAGCTCCCTGCCACTTATTCACTTGCTTTACTCCTACTTACAGCTTAAGACTCATTCAGATGACTTCTCTTCCAGGAAGTCTTCCTGTCTCTCCCAGGCTGGGTTAGGTGTTGCTCTGTGTCTCCCTAATACCGTGTGCTTCTCTCTCTCACGTGCCGTTAAAATTTACTGTCTATCCACCTCCCTCAAAATAGTCTGTGAGCCCAGCAGGGCAGAAATCCTGTATCCTCAGGATCCAGTTCAGGGTCTGGCATACAGTGGGAGCTTAATATTGGAGGGATAGAGGGATGGATCTGTAGACAGGCCGGCTTGTGTCTCCTTGTGTGTGTGTAGACACAGACTCTCTGAATTGGGAGACCAGGAGGGCCTGTGTTTATTGGGCTGCCCAATAAATTTAAGAATATTTTTTCCATTAAAAAATAGTTTTCTTTTGGAATATTTAATGCAGATACATATTGGTCAAAACTGTATTGAAAGGTACACACAGAATTCTTGCTTCCACTCCCGAGCTTTCATCCCTTCCCCTCCCCCACCCTCTCTAGGTCATCTTTGTATATTTATAGTCTCCTGTTTATCCTCCTAGTGTTTATTTTGCAATCGTAAGCAAATGTGTATATATTTTTAGTCCTCCCTTTCCTAACAGTAGCATACTACAAACACTGTTCTGCGCTTTGCTTTTGTCACTTAATGGATCCTGCAACCTTTCTATATCAGTACATGGAGGTCTTTCTCATTTTTTTTTGTGGTTACACAGCACTCCACTGAATGAATGTGCCATAGTTTATTCTACCAGTGTCTGATTGCTGGACCCTTTGGTTGTTTTCAACCTTAAACAAATGTCATTTTGTACTTGTACCAGAGTTTCTGTGGGTCAGATTTCTAGAAGTGGGATCACTGGTCACTAGTCAATGCATCTACTGTTTATTAGATAGAGCAAATGCCCCTCTTTAGTGGTTGTGCTGGAATTACATGTGAGCTTCCTTCCCCCATCCCCACTCCTATATGAGTTTGAGCTTTATTGGACAAAGGGCTTGTAAAAATTTGCCTGTCTCTCTTTCTTGTACAGTGAGAGCTTGTTTACCTCTGAACTGGCTACTAAAGCAGTGTTCCTTAATGTTTTTATTAGTATTTTCATTTTAATATTAATTGTAGTGTTACATAAAGGCTGGAGCATCCAAACACTCTTCGATCACCTAACTGTAGGGCAAGGCCATTTTCAGCAGTGCACTAGCCAAGGTGGGCGCCCAGCTTAGGAACTAGCTGAGCATATGTGAGAGTCTCCGCTGTGTGTCTCTCAGACTGCATTTGGTTGTTGATACATGCATGAGACAGTGAGTGCATGCATGTTTGGTGGCATGTTTGGGGGGCAGCAGGATGAGTAACAGCAGTGGATGGCAGATGACTGGCCCTGCTCTGAGAGGAACATTGAGCGCCCCCATCCCTGGGGTATGGGGAGGGCAGACCCAGGATGTCCCTGTGGGCTGGGCCTGACAGACCCTGCTGGGGCTGGCCCACTCCCCAGGACGGCTGGAACATCCTCAACTTCCTTATCATCTTTATCTTGCTCCTGGGGTTCTTCATTAACGAACTCAGTGTCATCTCTATCACCTACACCCTCAGGTGAGCTGGGACTGGAGAAAAGAAGGGGACCTGTCTGGACCCTGGGAGAGATGAAGGGATTGTTACCAGGTGGGGATCAGCTCTGCCTGTCTGGGCAGGTGGGAGGGCAGTGAGGAGGAGGATCTGGGAGGGGCTGAGGGGCACCCCTGAGAGGCTCTGCCACAGGGTGCTTCGTCTGGTACATGTGTGCATGACGGTGGAGCCCCTGGCCCGGATCATCCGCGTCATCCTGCAGTCGGTACCTGACATGGCCAATATCATGGCTCTCATCCTCTTCTTCATGCTGGTCAGTGCCCTCCCCCAACCCAGCCACTCCCCTTCCCTGAACAGGCCCCTGGGTGACTGGGGATACCAGAGTGTCTGGAGAAGAGGAGAGGCCTGTGGGCCTGATCCCTGTGATTCCCTGGCAGCATTCATTTGCGTGGCATTTGCATGTCCTGGCTCCAAGGCCCTGGGGTGAAGTCTGTGTGGTCTTTGTCTCTCTGGCAGGTGTTCTCCGTGTTTGGGGTCACTCTCTTTGGTGGTTTCGTGCCCACACATTTCCAGAACATGCAGGTTGCCCTGTACACCCTCTTCATCTGCATCACCCAGGATGGCTGGGTGGACATCTACAGTGACTTTCAGTGAGTGCCCATGGGGCTTCCAGGCCCCCAGCCCAGCCCAGCCCAGCCCAGCCAGGCAGGGGCTGGGGCTCCCATGGGGCAAAAAACTGACTGGGGAGGGAGAAGGGCTCTTGGTGGAGTAGGGCTCCAGGGCTTGGGATGAGGATGGCTCAGCAGGAGGCGGATGCCCGGGGCTTTAAACTGGGGAAAAGAAGACCCCTGGGGCTGGGGCCTCTGGGTTTGTGGTCTCTTTGAAGGCTTGTCCCCTTGAAACTCCACTCATTCAAAGTCCCACTGCAGGCCTGTTCATGGAGATTTTTCCCATCATGCTAAACAGCAAGGTAGCAAAGCCTTGGGCAAGGGAGCATGTTTGTGGTGGCACCTAGGGTCTCAGGGCAGCCTCTCAGCCCACACTGGAGCCCACCAAACTGCCTGCACTCCTGGGAACCTAGGGTCTTATTTTATTCATTCTTAGACCCACTTCCCAAGGTCATTCTTGGCCATAGACAGCTGCCTGGGTTCTGTTCTTTACCTTTTTTTTTTTTTTTTTAAAGAATTTATTTAAGATTGCTGTTACCTCCTCCTTTATTTATTTCTTTCTTTTTCCCCAAAGCCTCAGTAGATAGTCGTATGTCATAGTTGCACATCCTTCTAGTTGCTATGTGGGACTTGGCCTCAGCATGGCCGGAGAAGCGGTGCGTCAGTGCGCACCCGGGATCCGAACCCCGGCCGCCAGCAGCGAAGCGCGCACTTTTAACCGCCAAGCCACGGGGCTGGCCCTAAAGGAAGAGTTCATTTTTTGTTTTTTTTAATTTTTTTATTTTTCCCCCAAAGCCTCAGTAGATAGTCGTATGTCATAGTTGCACATCGCTCCGGGACGTTGTCAGCCTTGGGGTCTCCAACCCCCGCCTCAGTAGATAGTCGTATGTCATAGTTGCACATCCTTCTAGTTGCTGTATGTGGGACGCGGCCTCAGCATGGCCAGACAAGCGGTGCGTTGGTGCGCGCCCGGGATCCGAACCTGCGAACCCCGGGCCACCGAAGCGGAGCCTGCGCACTTAACTGCTTACGCCACTGGGCCGGCCCCTAAACCCTATTTCTTTCCAGTCCACTCCAGGGAGTGGGTCCTCCTGACTGATTTCTTTTTATCCCCTCTGTTTGAGAGTAGAAGCCCAGTTGGTAAAGAGCTTCTCTGGTCATTATCCATTATGACGTAGGCAGTGGAAAAACCATAGAGGGTGCAGTAGAGGGGGACTGAGCTTTTGAGTCTGCTCCACCACACTAGCCATGCGACCTTGGGCAAGTTACTTCATCTCTCTTCCGAGCCTCAGTTTTCTTATCTGTCACTTGGGGATTACAATACAATATTAACTATGTCTGGATTGCTGTGAGGATCAATAGAGAAAATCTATATAAATCTCTTAGCACAGAGCCTGGCACAGAATATATATATATATATCATGAGAGAGAGAGAAAGAGAGGAGGAGAGAGAGAAGACTATTATTGGGGAGAATATTTTATGGGAGATTTACAACAAGGTATTAACAGTGAATGGGATTTTTTCCTGTAAAATTTCCTTCTGATCTTTCTATAATGAGCTTGAATTACTTTTTTTTTTTCCTGAGGAAGACCAGTCCTGAGCTAACATCTGATGCCAATCCTCCTCTTTTTTTTGCTGAGGAAGACTGGCCCTGGGCTAACATCCGTGCCCATCTTCCTCCACTTTATATGGGACGCCGCCACAGCATGGCTTGACAAGCGGTGCGTCAGTGCGCAACCGGGATCCCAGCCGGTGAACCCCAGGCCGCCGCAGTGGAGCGCACGCACTTAACCGCTTGCGCCACTGGGCCGGCCCCTTGAATTACTTTTTATAACATGAAAAACATGAATAGAATGTAGCCAATAGATTAAACTTGATAATGCTGATGTACAAATCCCCGCCTTGCAGGGCTGGCTTAAGGACTGCCCACTGCTAGCAGTACAGCGGGTGCTCAGGAAAGAGCGGCTGCTATGACAATTAGGAGTAGGCATTGGATCTGTACAACAGCAGGGAGGTAGCAGAAGTCCCAGTAGGCCTTGAGATAATTCCCCATTTCATAGATGAGGAAAGTGAGGCCCAAAGGGCCAGGGAGGTGATGGGGCCCCCACCTGCCATCTCCAGGATGGAGACGAGGGAGTACGCAATGGAGATTGGGGGTGCCATCTACTTTGCCATCTTCATCACCATCGGTGCCTTCATTGGCGTCAACCTCTTGGTTGTCGTGGTGACCACCAATCTGGAGCAAATGATGAAGGCAAGAGAGCAGGGGCAACAGCATCAAGTAACTTTCAGTAAGGTGAGTGGGGTGGGGAGGGCAGAAGGGAGGAGAGAGAGTGTGTGCATGAGTGCTGATTTGAGCATAGGTATATGGGTGTGTGTGCTTGCACACTCAAGGGCCTGGAGAAAGCCAAGCCTGAGACCTGGAGGCAGCATCCCCCACCTTCAGTGCCAACTCACAGTTGGGGCTTCTGATGGATGTGGATTTCCTAGATGTCTTGTTTCAATGGCAACTCAAAACTGAGCAGCTGGGTGACCATAGGGCATGTAACCAGTCTAAGCCTCAATTTCCTCTTCTGTAAAATGTGAATAATAATCGTACTTACCTCAGAGGGCTACTATGAGAATTACATGGGTAAATGAATAGTACTTGGCACATCCTAAGAACTCGACAAATGTGAGCTACAGTACTATTCATTCCAGGGTAGACCTTCCAAAAGGGTGGGGGTGGGGAGGGAGGAGTACTTCCCAAAGTGTTGAGGGCTGCCGGCTGTGACTTGAGAGTACACAGGGCTTTAGAAACTTGCTGGGTAGGATTTATCAGGGGTGATATGGGGGGAGTGGGGGTTAAGTTTTGAAAAGGGATGAGAATTTCCAAAGAGGTGGGATAAGGGCTTGTGCATTTGAAGTTGAGCTCCCACAGCAAGGTAGAGAGGCTAAGGTTGGTTGGAGCCGAAATGAGGGGCATTAGAACCCCAGTGTCCTAAGAAACTCATCCTCCCTGAAGCCAAGCAGGAAACGGCTGGGGGAGGGGGTGCCGGCTGAGCTGTCCATCCCATCTCCGTGTACCCCTCTCCAGACAGACGACCAGGAAGACGGGAATAACGAGCTGCCACTGGTGCACTGTGTGGTCGCCCGTTTGGAGATGTCTGGCCTCCCCCAGGAGCCGCTTATGGGGGGCCCCCTGTCGAACCTCTCGGAAAACACATGCGATAACTTTTGCTTGGTGCTCGAGGCAATACAGGAGAACTTGATGCAGTACAAGGAGATCCGAGATGAGCTCAACACGTAGGGCGGGTACTGGGGGTACCGCCGAGTCCCGTGAGTCAGGGCTGAGCGGAGCCTTAGATTCTTCTGGCCTCACATCCTAACTATTTTATAATGCGGACCCTGGGGCCCAGACAGGTTAAGTGACTTGCCCAGGGTCCCCCAGCCTGCTGGTGGAAGAGCTCAAATCCAGACCTCGGGGTTCCTCCCATCTAACACTAGGGGACGCACAGCTCAGCCTGGGTCTCTAGCATAGTAAAGGGGGAGATTGAAGGAGGGTGGACACCAGAGAAGAGGTGGGAGGGCTGCTCCCTTCCCCCTCCCCTTTGCCCCGCCCCCCGGAACGCACTCACCCCTCCGCCCCCAGGATAGTGGACGAAGTACGCTCCATCCGCTTCAACCAGGAGCAGGAGGAGGAGCTGATGCACAGGCCCTTGTCGCTGAGCCAGTCGATGGAGATCGGGTCCTCCGTGGACATCCGTGAAATGACTTGCCAGCAAGACTTGATCACCGCGCTCATCAACAGGGAAAAGGTGCATCTTCCCTCTCCTCCCCAATTAGTTCTCACCCCGCCGCCCAGCCCAGCCCAGCCTAGCCTAGCTTCTGCCGCATTCGTCAAGGTTTCTGTCTATTCCAAGATCTGGTCCGCGCCCTGGTCTCCCCCCAGCAGTCACCAATGAGGTGACTAACCAATGAGGTTAGGTTCTACCCTTTCCTTTTCCGATAGGCCCCGCCCACTCCGGTCAGGCTCCGCCCATTGAGCCACTTCTATCTCTAGCGCCCTCAAACCTCCTCTTTCTTAGTGTGACTTGAGCCAACTCGGTTCCTGCTTATTGGCTGATACTTAGGCTCACTGGTGGCAAAGGACCCCTGGGTCCTGTCTAGGGTACGTAAGAGCAGCCTCCTCCTGAGGGAGGAAGCTTCTAGGGAGAAAAATGCACACACCCACATTAGTATCTGCTTCCCACACCATCTGACTGGGCTAGAATGATCTGGAGCCTTGTGAATATCCACAGCCTGGGCTCCCAAGCTCAGAGAGGATACAGGCAGGCTAGACTTAGACATATGAAGGACTTCCCTGAGAGGCCTAGATAGGCAGCTGTTGAAGGTGGAGGAGGGGAGTAAGGGAGTCTGCCATGTCAGGGTATGGGGATTGACAAGAAGACATCTTGGTTTGCAGGTTCAGGAATCCAACACAAATGTACTCCTTAACAAACACAAGGCCAGCCGCTGAAAGGGCAGGACGGGAGCCGAGGGACCTGCGCACACACACCCGTGTATCCCTAGCATGGGTGCATCTTCCTGTATCCCTAGCATGACTTGGCACAACCTGGCCTGAGCCTATCCTCTCCCTTACACCTGGGCAGATGCCTGGGGCTGTGAAGGGGAAGGAATCTCTAGGGCTTGTGCCTGCGAACTCCAGGTCCAGAGGAGCCAGGATGGAGAAGGATGCTGGATGACAGTGGGAGCCCTGCCACAAGGATGAGCAGAGAAGGGGGGTACTGGCCGAGGCAGCAGGGATTTGTCCTAAGGATGGGCATCCCTGGCCGCCTGCTCTAGGCCAGAGCTAGATGGGGCCTAAGTGGGCCCAACCACCAAGAGGAGAAAGGTGAGGCCAATGGGGCCAGGCATCTGTGTGTGACAATAAAGTTTTGTGTTGAGATCAATGTGTGTGATTGGTGGATCTCCAGCCCCTTGGGGCAACCTTGCCCCAAGTCTGATGGGCAAGACGGATCTTGCCCCTCAACAGCCTGTCTGTCTGATGGGAGAGTCACTGACTGACCTCCAGAGCTTCCAGTCTAATGGGAGAGAAAATCTATACCCTGAAAATTTCTGTCTTAATGGTAGACATATAGTCCCTGCCCCTAGGGTCCTAAATTTTGGGGGTGAAAGTCTGGTCCTCCTGGTTGGGAGCCCCTGTCTGATGAAGGAGACAGCTCTACCCTCTCTCTCTGTCTGAAAGTGGAGGAGACTGGTCCTAATTCTGAGGAGCCCTAGTCTGATGAGTCACCATTGACCAAGTTGTGCAGATACAGGTAGCTCCATCCTGGGGCAATGGAGAATGACTGGGCAAAGTGTGGGTCCTGGCAGGCTCTCTGGAGGAGAGGTGCACTGAAGCTTGCTGGAAGACAGCAGGAGGAGTTTGTGGGTCAGGTGAATGAAGTCTGGTGGGGAACTTGAGACCTGTGAGGCCTCTTTGGGACCTTCACACCAAAGGCCGTTGAGAGCCACAGCAGGTTCTTGAGCTAGGCAGTGCAGAGTCTGAGAAAGCTGTGGCAGTCACGGGCAATAGGAAGAGCTGCCTTGGAGGACAGGAGACCTAGATTCTCATCCTGGGGCAAGTGGGCCTCACTTTCCCCAACTGTGCAATGGGGAGAGGATGAGACTGATCTCCAGCTCTGAAATCAGGTGGCCAGCTCTCAGCCCAGGAATTGGGAGACCGAGGAGATCAGCCGTGTTGCTGAGACTCAGGTTCCCCGGTGTTGGATGGGGGAAGGCTGGAAGGCCGAGAGTTCTGCCCAGCTGTTCAGCAAAGGCTGACAATTAGGGACCTTGGGGATATTCACCAGTGGGAATGGGAGTCGCCAAAGGCCCACTGATTGCCACTGATGGGAAACTCCACCCCCCATCCCCTCCCATTAGCATTGGTTCCAGCCCTAAAAAGCCCCCTGGGGCCTGCTGGGAAGGAGTCTGGACAACAGGGGACAAGGTGGTATACTCTGCAGGCAGGTGAAAGGTGGCACCAGTGCCAGCAGCGCCTCACTGTCTTGGAGCTGCTCTCTGTTCCCTGTTTGGGTCAGGACTCCTTCCCAGTGCCCTCCAGGACCATCAACTAGCCGAGCCATGGGCAGCCAGTGGCTTTTGCTGCTGCTGCTGCTCTTTATTGGGGATGGAGCCCTCATTCTGCCTGGTGAGTAGCCATATGTAGCCTTTCCATCTATCCTTCTCTGGGGGCTCTCATAGCCCCACTTCTGGCTGGCCAGAGAGGGGAAGAAGGTAGGGGAAGATCAGATAGCGTCCCCAGGAAGATCTTATAATGTGAGCACAGCCACCCCCCACCCCACCCCTAAATTGTCTGGAAGGCTTGGGGCACCAGTGAGTTTTTAGGCAGGAGCACGATGGATGACCTCCAAGGGGCTTCTGGCTTTGCCCATCCATACTCTTGATGCTCTTTGTCTGTCTACTCCCTCCATTTTGTCTGTCATCTCAGCTATCTCCCACCCCCCACTTTTTTTGTGTGTGTGTGAGGAAGATCAGCCCTGAGCTAACATCCATGCTAATCCTCCTGTTTTTGCTGAGGAAGACCGGCCCTGAGCCAACATCCATTGCCAACCCCCCCCCTTTGTTTTTCCCCAAAGCCCGAGTAGATAGTTGTACGTCATAGTTGCACATCCTTCTAGTTGCTGTATGTGGGACGTAGCCTCAGCATGGCCGGAGAAGCGGTGCATTGGTGCACGCCTGGGATCCAAACCGGGGCCGCCAGCAGCGGAGCGCGCGCACCCAACCGCTAAGCCACGGGGCCGGCCCTATCTCCCCCTTTCTGTCTGTCCTTTCTGTCTGGGCCAGGCCAACAGCTTAGGGTTTCAGCAGGCTAGTTCTCTCCCAAGCTTGCCCAGAACTGAGGGCCCAGGGGCTTGGAACCGTGCTGTCCTCCTCCCCCGCCCCACTCTAGCAAAGAGCATCCGCCATCTCCAATGCCTCACTGAGTCTGAGGAAGGAGTGCAGTCCTGGATCCTGAGCTCCTAGGACAGTCTGGGGGAAGATACTGGGCGGCGGCAGTAAATTGCCTATCTCAACACTCCCATAAGTCCACGACTTTTTCCAGGGACAGGAGTCTCCTTGGCAAAGCACCCAGATACCAATTCTGGTGAGAGGACCAGAAGGTGATAATCATTACCAAGAGCAGGTTCTACTTACTGAGCACCTACTATATGCTAAGCCTTGTGCTAAGTGCTTCATATGCTTTATCTCATTTAACCCTCATGACCATCAGTGAAGTGGGTACTATTATCATTCCTGTTTTACAGTTGAGGAAACTGAGGTTCAGAGATATGAAGTGATTTGTCCCCCGTTACAGAGCTGGGATTCTATCCCAGGTCTGACTTCAGAGACCAGGCCACACCCCATTGCTTCTCAAAAGAGCTGCTGTGGGCAGGAAATCTCAATATCATAAAGATATCAATTCTTAATCTATAATTGCAGCACGCTTTCAATCAAAATCCCAACATGGTATTTTGTAGAACTTGATAGGCGGATTCCAGTATATGTAAGGAAGAACAAAAGGCCAACAATAGCCAAGATAGTTTTGAAGAGCAAGATGGCAGACACACTCTAGCAAATACTGAGATTTACATTAAAGTAAATCTGGTGTTGGTGCAGAGAAGTGAACCGATGCAATGGAAAAGCATGGAAACTGGTCTGGATACACAACGACAGGTAGCATGACGAATCAGTGGGAAAAGTACAGACTTTTCCATAAGGGGGAAGGAACAACTGGTTGACAACATGGAAAAAACAAAATCAGATCCAATGGAAACATCTCTCCCTGCAAATAAAAACTTGAGACTCCTGTAGCAAGACATCTGTTCATTTCAGCCTGGACTTTTGTTGCAAACAGACCCACAGATCACTAGAGTTTAGAAGACTCCCACGATGTTGAGCCCAAGTCCCTCACCGTGCTGAGGGGGTCATGGAGGCACTGAGAGGGATGGGGTCTTGCCCAAGATCACACAGCACATCAGTAATAGAGCCAGATCTAGAGCTTAGATTCCTCTATTCTTTCCATGCATCCTGGCCAGCTTTCCTGCTGTATTGTGACCCGTTAGCTCTGCACAGGGCTACAAGAAAGTGGGGTGTGGAAGGAGCAGGTGCCAGAGAGGGGCAGGGTTAGGAACAAGGGTCAAGGCCTCTTCAGAGCTAGGTTGTGGGAAGGATGAGCCCACCACCTTGTCTGGGTCACCTCCAGTTTTCTGAATTAGTCCTTTGACACCTGCCAAGGATGCAATGACAGAGCGTCTGGTGATGGACCTGTTTCTGCCCATTGCCCAGGGGAAAGAGGAAGGTTTCCAAGGGATCCAGCTCAATGTAGCTGATTTGGGCCTTTCTCTCTGGAGATAGTGGCTGGCTCACTCATGAGAATGAAGCTGTTTTTGTGAGGCAGTGCAGCACAGTAGGGAAGACATTGGGCTCTGGGGTCTGATGGACGTGGTATCAAATGCAGTGCCACCACTTCCTGGCTGTGTGACCTTGCATAGATGTCTTCACTTGTCTGAGCCTCAGTTTCTTCATCTGGTAAATAGAAATAATCATCCTTACCTCAGGTCGGATGTGAGGATTCAATGCGCCATTGCTTGTGCATTGGAGCAGCACCTTACTCAGACAATGTGAAAATTGAACAATGTCAAACCATCCTTGACTGCTATTGCACTAAATGAAGCACTTGGTGTTATGAGAGGTTCGGGGATTCGATCGGAGACGTAAAAGAAACTTTCCACTCCAAACAAATGGACTGAAGGTATATTTTATTATATAGAGGATAGTAAAGGCGATAGTCC